GTATAATATGCAGAGTAATTTATTTATAAATGCATTTTTCTCGAAAATGGTGCATCTGAGCAATTCAAATCAAGAGACCTATTTTTCGTAAAAAACTGTAAATTCTCATAATTTCATAAAAAAAATTAAATTATTAACCCAGAAAAAAGTTGGGGCTATTTTTGTAACTTTGCCCCCTCCAAATGTTACGCCTATGATTAAATTTTAACAGTTTTGATCATAGATCTAGATTCAGCATGTCAAAATTACCAAAGTACCAAAAACTCATTTGTTCATGTTCAACCCTCTAGGAATAGTTTAAAAAAAATTATCCTCTTAGGCTCCTATTCAGGGGGCCGTAGCTCCTTTAGGGAGCATTTTTTGATACATGTTTATTAAACAAAAAAAGTGTTATTTTAATACGAATAATGCACTGTTTAAGTTTGGCCCCCTGATTTCGGGACACCCGTATAATGATAATTGTACCATAAATGTTAAAAAAACGCGAAAATTCGATGGAAATCAAACTTTGGCCTCGAATAACTCTGGAAGAAATCAATTTATAGAAAAATGATAGGAGACCTTTTTTGTAGAGCGTTAAATTTACTATGAAAATCTAAGATGATCCTTGACATAAGTTGATTTGATTCAGACGTATAAAATTTCAAAGTTAAAAAAAAAATTCCCATGTTATTTAAATGGGAAATAGAAAATTGCGATCCGCGACCTCTAAATCTTCAAATTAAAAGCTCAAATTTTGACAAGGTCTTTATGTTGACATCCCCTGAAAGAATTTGCCGTCCATTTGAAGAAAAACAAAAAGTCGATTTTTTTGAAACACCCTAACGCATATGCATCCAAACGATTAGGAAATACTTGAATCGGAAGTAATTGTCCGTTAAAGACTCCGCTCCATAGGTACATTAAAAAGAACCTTTGTTGAAAACTTCTTCTTTTAAAAGCGAAAGACCATACATGTTCATTACGGCTAGTATTTATGCCATCCCGAGTAAAAGTAGCTTCGTCCGACCAAAGCGTCTCCCTGAAGAAATTTTCATTTTGTTCATGCTGCTGAAGAAGCCATTGACAAAAGGCGAGTCGTTATCTCCTGGGTGCAAATGATATACTTTTTGTTTATGAAATGGATGTAAAACTTCGGTTTTTAAGGTTCTCCAAGCAAAACTTTGGGCAGCAATGCGTCTGGTACTAATTTCGGGATTATCGAGCACACAATCTATCTCTTCTTTTTCCCTCACAGCATCATAATAATTATTTCGTGTAGCACCACCAGCACCAGTACGGGAATTACCAATTCCAAACTGTCGTAGCCTTTGATAAGCGTCGGAAAACAATATGGTTGTCGTTTATTAGGGAATCTTTTGTTGTACTCCCGACAAGCTTTTAACTGTGGTTTCGAACAAATTTTGGACATTTGTTTGCAAGTTATGTCAGAATTGAATATATTTTTTTAACCTTGTTTCTACATCTAAATGGTGCATTTTTTTAATTTCATCAATTGACCGCTGTGGTTAACAGGCCTCAAGTTACTCTACTGTGTTAAAAATAGATAAATTTTGATATTTTGTAATAACATTTTTATTTAAAAACGTATCGATTTGAAATTAACATAAAATGTAGACCTAATTAATGACAATAAATCCACGTATTTTTTTTTAGATTTTAACATACAGGGGGCGCTGGTGACAATTTAATTTAAAATTTTACCATTTTTTAAGGGTTAAAAAATCGAAGAAGCAACGTGGTTTTATAATTTTGAATATATCACTGTAAATTACTGATAATTAACTATTATTTGATATATAAACTTCTATATGCAAATTATGTTTCTACGAGAGACATCATTTTTAAGTTAGGCCCTTAAAGAGCATAATACTAACGTGTTTTACAAAGTATATTTTGTTTTATCTAGGTTTATAAGGTAATGTATTATATATTACATATTATACATTATATATTTCATATAATATATTATATATAACACAATTCTTACATATTTATTTAAAAAAATCCCCATAGATGGAGCTAAAATTACTTTTATTTATTAATTTAAATTTTTTTCAAGTTTACTAATTTTGATCATAGTAGGCATCATAGACTTTTTTCTCTATGGTAACCTACCATTGGAAGCATGAAAGATAATATGACAGTTCAGTTTATAAAATGAATAAACTAAATAATATTTATAGACAGTGTTAGCCAGTTCGAAATTATAACCTACTTTAATTTTATTTTTTGCTCCACAACCATGCTTCAATTTATTTTTTACTCGATAAGCAAGCTTCAATTTTAATTCCAAACTGAGGAAAGTAATATTTACCCAATAAATAAATTAAAATAAAGACTTTATTTTTTATGTTGCCATCGGCTATTTAGATATTTGTATATTTTTTAATCAGTTGTTTTTCGCTTTTTTGTAATTAGTTATTTTGCATTTTTTATATTTAATATAATACAGGTTGAATCTAGGTATATGGTATGTTATATGAAATATGCTTAGAATTTTACAAGGAATCGAAAAATAAATACATATATAGGGTGATCCATTGAAAAAAAATAAACTTTTTGGTTTTCCCTGTATACTGATCAATTTTACAATTTTCTTTATACGTAGAAAAAAAGTATTTTTTAGTAGGGGATCACCTTGTACCATATCATTTGAAAAGACTTTTGAAGGGATTATATGTAACTTATTTTTCAGATTATACTGGGACACAAAAAAATTACACTAGACGGCGCTATTTTTAAATGTTTGTACCAAAAAGTTTTCTTTAGTTAAAATACTAAAATTTAAAGTTCTAAATTGAGTCATTACAAAAACGTAAATCGTATGTTGCTAATTTCTTACAAGACCCGTACAGAATCTGAAAATAATCAGTTGGTTGCAATAATCTTTTTAGTAATGTATGCCATGACCCCACTTCTTATTGAAAAATCTCACGATCATAATACACCCTTTATTTAAGCAAATACTATTAAATTTAATAACTAAAAATAGGTTGTTTAAAATTAATAGGAAGTTCCTGTTAGGAACTACTGGATTTTTTTGGATTTCACTTGGATATTTCCATAAGGAAATCCCATCTATTTATTGTCCTTTTAAAATAAACTTTGTTTTCAATAAATATTCATTTAAACACCAGTTTAAATCAGCCTCAAAGTTGTTATTCATGAGTTCTTTGTAGGTAGTAGCTTTGCGTCGAACACAAACAAAAACTGGAAACTGTTGCCTAAAAAGATTTGACTGCAGAAAAAATCAGCTTTGATATAAACTGCTCGTCATAAAAATCGACGCACCTAGTTTTTTGGAAAATATTTGAATGCTCGTTATTGGAAAATTACCGATCGATTTTAAAAATCTTTGGAAATCCTGAATACCTGATTCTTTGACTCTTATGTCTAACTTTGGGAATACGATATTTTGCACATAGCATTATACTACAGGGTGTTAAACGAAGAGATGTATTTTTTCCGAAATTTCAAGTTATTCCCATTCATGAGGCAGTTGAGTTTGATAGTCGTAATACCCCTCCCTAATATAAGTAAGGTAATCCCTCGAAACGTTTTCGAGATTTTGTGAATATCGAGGCTTACTACGATTATATGCCAATTTTTCGAAAATTGTCGTTATTTCCCAGTTTAGTCCAAAAAATGAGCAATAGTGGATTCTTTGACTTCCATCTAATTTTGAGAATAAGATATTGTGCACATAACATTATACTACAGGGTGTTAAAAAAAGAGATGTTTTTTTCCAAAATTCCAAATCCCCATTCACAGGGCAGTTGAGCTTGATAGTCCTAATACCCCTTCCTAATAACAGTTAGGTAATCCCTCGGGACGTTTTCGAGATTTTGTGGATATCTTGGCTAACTACGATTATATGCCAATTTATCGAAAATTGTCGTTATTCCCCAGTTGTCCAAAAATTGAGCAATAGTCAATTCTTTGACTTACGTCTAATTTTGGGGTTATTCTCGTAAACTTATGAAGGCTATATTCATGCAATTTTCTACAAACGGTTGACTATGAAAGTTTAAAAAATATGGCGCATATCTGGTTTTGAGTTTCCTCCCTTCTTGTCATTTTTGTCATCGAATATGAAAACATTTTTCAAACAGCAAAACACATTTAAAAAAATAAAATGACGGCTGTAAGGTTGCATACCACGCAAGACGAATAGCTGCCTGCCCTCTTTTTCTGCTAGAAGAAGATGGGCACAAGAACATGCAATTTGGGGAAACGATTTGTTGATATCTTTAGTAGTTTGCTTATTTTTGGGAATTAAGTGGAGAATAACGACAATTTTCGAAAAATTGCTATATGATCGTAGTTAGCCAAGATATCCACAAAATCTCGAAAACATCCCAAGGGATTACCTAACTTTTGGAAAAAAACATCTCTATTTTTTTAAACACCCTGTAGTATCATGTTATGTGCACAATATCGTAGTCTCAAAATTAGACGTAAGTCAAAGAATCCACAATTGCTCATTTTTTGGAGTAAACTGGGAAATAACGACAATTTTCGAAAAATTGGCATATAATCGTAGTAAGCCGCGATATTCACAAAATCTCGAAAACGTTCCGAGGGATTACCTTACTTATATTAGGGCTACGACTATCAAACTCAACTGCCTCATAAATGGGAATAACTTGAAATTTCGGAAAAAATACATCTCTTCGTTTAACACCCTGTAGTATAATGCTATGTGCAAAATATCGTATTCCCAAAATTAGACATAAGAGTCAAAGAATCAGCTATTCAGAATTTCCAAAGATTTTCAAAATCGATTAAGTAATTTTCTAATAACGAGCTTTCAAATATTTTCCAAAAAACTAGGTGCGTCGATTTTTATGACGAGCAGTTTATATACGTATACGGTTTATTTAAAATTTAAAATTAACCTAATTGTAAATAAATGGAAAAATAATAAATAAAAATAATAAATAAAAATAATAAATGTAAAAAAAGATATTTAATTTAAAAACAAAATTATTTGTAGTCCATCATGGGGAGCTGATAGCCTGTGGAACAACAACCATTCGTTTGGTGTCAAGTGGGGCGTTTGACAATTCAGTTACAGTAAAAATAAGACAAATAGACGAGGAGGACATCGCAAATGGATATATGAGCGTCGTATGCGAACTGGATGAAATGAATTAGTAAGTAAGATCTAGAAACTTTTTTGAACTAGTTTTAATTCAACTTTATTGCAATATTATCCATACTTTAATATAATATATGACCTTTTAAATACACATTGACAAGTTGTGAGTTTAAGGCCTTTAGTCACGGGCTGAAGTTGGCCATTGAAGTTAGTTAAGTGCCCTTTTTGTGAAATAATAATGTGAAAATTATTTTATTATCTCAAATTTTTACCATCGATATTATTTATTCAAGTTGAGAAATACTTTATAGAGTGGTAAAAATTATCTACAAAAACATATCTTAAGGGGTAAGGAGTACGGCTTTTTCATGAAGAATTTTAAGGTTATACATTTACTTATTTGTGACTATTTGACGACCTGAAAAAAAAAGAAAGAATGCGTTGAGCTTTTCTTTACAAAAAAAAACAATGTGAGAACAATAAGTTTGTAGACTATTTTTTTTCTTAAAAAGTGGCAACACTAGGGTTATTAAGTGTGACTCAGTTTATACACGGAGAAAAGAGAACAGAAACCATTGATAACAGAACACTAATAAACATATACAATGTTAATGTCAGTGTCAGTCAGGGGCGTGCTGGCTATATCAGACCTGCCCGGGAAATTCAGAAAAATCGGCCAACTACACACGAAAAATGGGGGGTGAACAAAACCAAGTTAAAAAATTTCAAACATTTATTAATAATTAATAACATAAAGTATAAATTTAATTCTTGAAAAACAAACAGGCAACAAACACAACCAGACAATATTTTACACAATGCAAAAACATATAGCATTGCACTTAAAATAAAAACTAATACAAATTATCATCGCGCAGGAAACTTATAAACAATATAGAATCTCGAAAAAAGAAACAAAGCTGGCAGGCTGGCATGCATGGTATGTGTAAAATAATTATGATATTTATACATAACTCAACTAAAAAAGTTTTTAATTGACCACGTGCTGCGACATGCTGCCTACATAGCCCTCCGGCACACCGGCCCACTTAGCCCTCCGGACCACCGGCCCACCGGGATTTCTCCCGGTGTCCCAGCGGCCCAGCACGCCCCTGGTGTCAGTGTACAATTTAAAATCGTACAATTTCTAATAAAACATCACGGATTACTTTGACAACATCAATAGTTATTTTTTGTTTGGGATTTGAAAGAACATGTTTTTGTTATTTTAAAAAAACATTGTTCTCAAAGAAATGTTCTGAAATCAAGATGAAAACTAAAAAAAATTAATACAAATACTCTTACATACATAGTTCCTGCTAATGAAAAAAGGCACTACGTAACTTTTACCTTTTCCAACAGACGTAGAATCCTCCAAAACTTTTCCATATACCAGGGAATATAATATATAAAACAACATAATTAATCCATATTGTTATACTGTCAGTATAATACTGATGAAACTAGCTTTAAAAGTAACATCTACATGTGCAAAATACTCTGAAGCATACTTAATTTTTTTATTAATGAGAAATTTGACATAGATTTCTTTAAAAGAAAGAAATATCAAGCTTTTATCTGCATGTTGCTTTAAATTATAAAATAATATTATTATTTAAAATAAATTTACTAATTTACAGACTATGATGTAAAAAATTACATCGATATATTGAGATTTGAATCTGTTGGAAAAATCGGACAAAACGTATGTTCGCTCCATAAAGTATATAATTCTTTCAGTCCCAGAAGTGTAATGGACTGAAACTAACTGGATGCGCTTGCTATAATTTAACTTTAATGGATATTATTGTTCATGTGTATGAATTTCGTTAATTTGATTAAACAATTGTGTAAAATTTCACACGAAGTGATTGACTGCTTGTACAAATAGAAATCGAATGGGTTACCACTTGGTTAAAAAAAATTAAAAAAATAACTCATAGAACAATATTTTGTCATATTTTAATGTAGTAAGCAGGCCCGTTCCTGGGGTGTCTGGCGCCTGCGTGCAGCATTCGTTGGTGCGCCCCTTTTATATTTAACTATAATACATTAAATATTTTAATTTTAAGCCCTAAAATTTAAAAAATATATATTTTGCGACAAACTGGCAATATGTGATTTAAAAAAACGCTTAAATTAAGTATAAAAAATATTTATTGAATTACCAAAGAAACCAAATCATAAAAAATATTGAGTGACTCTAATCAAAACAAAAAAAACAATCTAAACAATATAATAACTACAACTGGTTTTTAGTGACGTACTCTCTAAAAATTACTAGTTTTCAAAGTAAAAAAGCAGTCACTAATAACTTTAGTCCACAGCAATTTGTATCCCTGGCATTTACCAGCTTATTATTATGTAAAATTGTCCCCTGAATTCGAAAAAATACTGTCAAAAATTATAAAAGTAAAGCATTTTTTAAGATATAGTCAATTCCATATTATATGGAAAATTTACTAAATCTCAAAAACGTTATAATTTTATAACTTTTGACGACATTTTCGGATTCAGCGGACAATTTTACATAGAAGTTGACTGTTAAATGTCCGGGATACAAATTGCTATTGACGATAATTATTAGTGGCTGCTTTTTCGCTATAGCAATTAGACTAATTGAATTAGTCATTTTTGACTAATTCTATTTTAGAGAGTTACTACTGTTAAACTTTGCTACCGTCAACTGCAACTATCAAACAAATACTAAAAATAATATGACCATTTCTCTCCTTTTATTTTGATACCGATTGACTCTTTGATTTTGCGCCTCCAAAATGTTGCGCCTGCGTGCGTGCACGCACTGCACGCTCGCCAGGAACGGGCCTGGTAGTAAGAATAATCATAATATTATTAATATTTTTAATGGGAAATATAATACATGTATTTTTAAAGCCATCCATTTACTCTTCATAGCATAATATTTATTATTAGATTGAATTGTGGACGTAGACATTGGTGGGGTTAAACGTTTGGATGACGTTGTGGATTGTTAAAAATTAATGAATGTTGTCTTCGAGGATTGTTTACATTACCTGAAAAACCTGGTCTATTCTCAGAATTTTGTTGTCGCAGTTATATTTGCGAATGATAAGAGGCCGAATTAAAACTTTGCGTCAAATTTGGGTTATGATCAGTGGCGTAGCTAGCTTCAGGGGCGAATTAAATGTCGAGAGCGCCCTACGCAAGCACCTCATCGGCGCCCCTCCAGCGGCCATGTATTATAAATTTTAACTAGTGCGTATATAATAATTAGCAGAGCCCCGCGGTTTCACCCGCGTAATGTCCTATACCGTGAAAATATTGGGATAAAATGTGTAAATCTGGGTCTCCAGACCAGGTTTCATCACAATCGGTTCAGTAGTTTTTGTACGGAGAAGTAACACACACACACACACTTTTGCAGTTATAATATTATTAGGGTAATTTGACATGTTCTATATACCTATAATTAGGTATGGACCAGGACGTGTACTTAGTAAATACACTGTTCAAAATTTCATGACCATTTTAACAACAAATTAACACCATATTTGGTCTATATCGATACAAACCAAAATGGTGTTAAATAGGGTTCGTTGGTCCGGTGTTAATTTAAATACTAAAATGGTGTAAATTTAAATACTAAAATGGTGTAAATTTAACTTTCACACTGTATTAAAATAAATTTTACCTGGTGTAAATTGAACTCCTTTTCAGTGTTAAATATTAAATCATACTACACAGAAAAAAGGAAAAAAAAAGGAAACAGGAAGTTCCTTGACGCATTACCAGTACATTACCAGTGGTATTATTCCAGAAAATGGAACCTTCAACTCGCTAGAGATAATGTTTTTAGTTCGTTCCACTAACTTAAAATACTTCAAGTATTGACAGCTGTTTCCACCTATTTAAGGTCTAGTATCGAACAACTTGTAGTGTCACACCAAAGCAAAGGACAACATGAGCTTATATATTCTTCATGTAAGTCAACAGAGGCGAGATTTAAGAACATCACGTGATCCACAAAAAAATAAATACTTATGGGTCAACTACATTGATATAGTTAAATGAACTATTTCTTTTTTTCTGTGTAGGTGCACTTCTCAAATATTTTTAGATAAACACCGTTTTGGTGTTAATTTTCAACCATAATTCATGGTGTTATATTAACACCACTTGGTGTTGGATTTTGACACCATTTTAGGATTACTTTTTACACCACAGATATTTTAAACAGTGTACACGTCCTGGCCCTTACCTAATTATAGGTATAGGCCAGGACACGGATTTCCATGTTCGTTCTGTCCCTTTTGCTTTCTTCACTTTCATCACATTGTATTCACTCCTATGGGTAAGTACTACTTAGTAAGTAGTACTTACCCATAGTTGTGAATGTAATGTGATGAGAGTGAAGAAGGCAAAAGGGACACAATGAACATGGAAATCCATGATGAGTCACTGGGAAACAGATCTGATAGTGTATGTGTGTTGACAGATTATGGTGTGTTATATTATTATCAATAATTATGTAAAAAAAATTATTAATATTTGACCGTCCTCGGTGGTGTAGTAGTCGAAAAGCCGAGAGGTCGTGGGTTCGAATCCCACCAGGGGTATGGCTATTTATTTGTGTTTGTGAGGATGTACTCCTGTAATTAGGCCTGGCGCCTGTTGCAAGCACATTAAAATAATAAAATAAAATAGAATAAATAATAAAATTAGAGTTATAAATTATTTATTTAAAAAATCACAATTTTAAATTGGTAATAATCACGGCGTTCTCTATACCAGGCGGGAGTGTGGTAGTGGGAGGTGTGACGTCAGGAGGCCCACTGCAATAGCAAATTAATGTAATAATGTTATAATCGAGGTAATACAAGGCAGTTTAATATAAATTATCTATTGCTTTACTATTGATATCGCTCGATTTAACGTTGATTTAAATATTGCATTAGTTTGCTGCTTTTTTAACATTACAAATAAATAAAAAAATACCAAGAAAATGTTGCGTTCCTAAGAGGCAACAGGAAAATAAATATATTATCGCGGTAATGCAAGACAGTTTCATATCAA